AAGGGGATTGTCCCCCCTGCTCCCCCAAGGGCTCCTGTGGACACAGGTTGATGGCCCTGGTGAGGGTGATTGAACTCATCCCCGTGCTCTGGTGCTGGGCTGAAGGGGTCAGGTTTGCTCCTTGCCAGCTCAGCGAACCTCTTAAATAAAGTTCAATGCTTGTACAATTATGTTATGGGTTTTTAAGACAGTTTATTATTATTTCCAGTGTCAATGGCAAAAAAAATTCTCCCCAGTTTCGCATTTAAAAAAGTGGAAGTCCAGCTCAGTGCTACTGTCTCCAAAGTAGTGCAGCATCCTACAGCACAGCCTGGGGAGACCCCTAAACAGAGAGCTACTTGTGAAATGTTGTGATGAAACCATTCTGCACTCACAGCCTCAGCTGCTTTTCCCTTCCCTGCCCATCAACAGTAGCCTCTCTTGTGCTCCTGTGCTGAAGGTGGGTTGCTTCATGTTTCTCCTCTTTTTCTTGCATTCCATGTTTTCTCTTTTTTCCTCTTTCCGTCCAAGTGATTACTCTGCTTCACCCTTGTGCAGCTGCACCTAGAGCATTGTGTTTATTTCTGGGCTCCACAGCTCAGGAAAGAGAAGGGGCTACTGGTGAGGGTCCAGGCCACCAAGATGATGAAGGAGCACCTCTCCAAGCAGGAGGTGCAGAGTCGTGGGCTCACAGCTGTGTCTGCAGCCGGGCTGTGCAGCGCTCCCAGCACTGAGGAGAGTGAGAAACCAGCTCGGGTTTGTTTTGAAAATGCTGTTCCGACATCCCTGTGCCATTTGTGTGGAGCCGGCTCCCGTTGCCATGGCAATGGCAGCACAGACAACGCTGACAGATCTCGAGCAGCTGCTTCCCTCAGCACCCAGCGAGACTGGGAATCAAACTGGCTCTCACATCCCGGGCCCACAGCAGAAATCCAACAAAGCCTCTTCCCACCACGGCCAGCCCACATTTTAACCAGTACACCCAGGTAGCCCCAGCAGCACACCCAGTCCTGGGTCTGAGGCTCCAGTTCTAAATCCCTCTGGATCCACGTGGCAATGCATTTCAAACAAGGAGCAGGGAGCTGAAATTCGACTGCCAAGGCTGAGGGATGAGCTCAGGCAGTGTCAGAAATGCAGGCACCTCCACCCAGCAGCCAGAGAAGGAACTCCAGTTACTCCAGCCAGTCCTAGCTGCCCAGTTTTGGAGGTTTTCAGCAAACAGACTCTGCCAAAGCTTTCCAGAAGTCACATGGATCCCAGAAAAACAAAGAATCACTGGTGAACCCATTTTAATTTCAAAATGAGGCAAACCAAACTGATGGGTAGGATGTTGCCAAAAGGTCAAACCCAGTTCTGGATGAAACAAACCCTCGTATTTTTCAGCATTTTAATAGCCACAAAGAGCTCAAGATACTTTGAAGTGACAGGAAACAAACAGACACAAGATAATGGTTTGTGGATTTTATTAAATGCTGTCATTTTACGTTTTCATATATGCAAACCCAGCAACGGTGGGAAATCCAAAGCCTGCAGGACAGAAGAGCTGGTGAGCGAGTGTTCTGCAGTAGTACATACAGAAAGTACAAAAGGTTTTCTTCTCTATAAATCTGTTTACTACCTCTGTTTACAGTTTGCACGCTGGACTGAACAATACTTATTCATGTGGTGGTTTTGGAGGTCCTGAGCTCTCAGCAGGACCCATTTCCCTGTACACACACATCTCTGAAGAAATTCCCTATCTGAAAACTTTCTCCTTTATCCCTGTTAAGGAGAATTTCCACATGCCATAAATGTCAGCTGCAATTTCAGTAACCAGCTGAAGTAACCTGGGACCCTTCCTTGAGGAGACAGACCAAAACAGTTGACAGGATCAAATCTTTCTGCAATGAACTAGAAAATGTGAGATTAGGCACTATAAGGAGGAGCAGTGTCCTGCTGTTCCAGCTGGCTCCAGCACCGAGACCAGATTTCTGTAGTTTAAATAAAACAGGAAAACAAACCCACAGAACCAACCGGGGCCATCTCTCACTCTATTTATGAGAGAGCAGTGGAATTTTCAAGCCAGCCAGAAACAGAGTAATGATATTTATGCCTGAACATTTTTATGCCAATATAGAAACCATAATACTCCAATTCCTCGATCTGTGTGCAACCCTGTGTAGCCACACTGGGATTACTGGGATGGATAATCTACAGTTCAGCTTCCCAAAGCTGGGTTTGACTGCTGGTGGCAGTGCATTTGCATCCCTGGAGGAATGCCTCATGCCACTCTCCAGTGCTGCACTGTGCCAGATCAAACACAAGGCTCATTCCCGTGTGTTTCTGCGGGGTTTGGGAGCAGATGAATCCCTGCTGCTGTCAGCTGGAGTGTCTGCAGTGAGAACAGCGAGTCTGGAGCTGCTGCTGGACAGACTGGCTCCCAGACGCCGGGGATGGAGCAGCAGCACAGCCTGGGAGCTGCTTCTCTCAGCTCTGGTCACCAATCCAATGGAATCGATCCCTTCAGAAAGGCAACAGGGACAGCAAACACCGGAAATGGGCAATAGTAACATATAAACCCAAAGAAGACTCCTGAATTTGCTGAGAAGTGCCAGATGCTGAAGTTAAACTGAAAGTGGAACTGGAATAAACCCCACCCAGCCCTGAGCTGCAGATGCTGCAAAAACCGGCCCCACATGAGCTCTGCTCACTCTGGAGCACATCACTTTATATGGTACATAAACACAGAGCTAAGGGCTCTGCAAGGCTCAGGGGACAGAGTTGGGAGGAAATCCTAAACTCTGAGGAACAGCCTTCAAGGAGCAGCTGGGATCCCACTGCAGGAATGGGCAGTGGTCTGACAAGTGCACATTTCCCCTCCAGTGTCTCTGTGAAGCAAACGTGCTCCTTGACTGTCTCAGGAGCCCAGATCCTCTGGCCAGGGGAAGCCCACTGCTGCCAGCTCAGCCTGTTCTTTGGCCCAAACACACACACTCCGAGCTCTGAAGGCCCCGTGTGCCAACACAGGGTTTTCACACTGCCCACACAGGGCTGAGGCCGTGCTCCGTGGGGAGCAGGGTACAGCAGGGGACCTCTGAACTCCTCCCTGCACAGCAACACCATCAGCAAGATGATTTGCCATATTCCCTTTCCTGCCAGTCCAGCCCTTTCTCCCTAATTCAGCACCAGGGAACTCCAGGACAGCACAAGGCACTGCGAAAAACAAATTTTGATATCCTGTTACACAGAAAAGGGCAGTTCTCATTGCAATAAAGATCAGTTTGAACCTGAGTCACATGTTTAATCTCTTGTCAGTGTTTTTGGCCGTGCTGGTGCTCACACAAATACCTGCTTGCTTTGAATCTTGCTGGATCAGCTCCTCTGGCCGCTCATTTCATTTTAATTACATGGCTTGAGAGGGTATTTCCACCCACCATTTCCCAAAACTCCCACTTTCTAAGTATCAGCGACTGTCCTTTTGGGGTAACAGTGTGAGACATCACACAGTTATCCTGCCATACAGGTTCCTCCTCAGGGACTGCCAAACCATCTTAATGAGGCTCTAACATGCCCAAACTAACCTTTTTCACAGCTGATCATTCACAAAATATTCACAAGAAATACTTGAATGGAATTCTAAAGGAATATGGTTCCCTGTTCTGAATGAGTTTCCACTGTTTCTACTACCTCTTTTCTATGGTAAAATTAGCTTTATAGTGTAAAGACAGACTAGTAGAGTCCAGTGACAATTCTAAAACAAATCTTGGCTTCACAGCAGCAGATGTACTTCTCTTTAACAAGCCAATAAATATTTTAGGTGACTAGAGAGCTGGGACTTCTATAATCTGATCCACGTTCAAAAGCCAAGCAGGGAGTCAACAGGTACCAGGAAACACAACACCCGTGTAAGATTCTTCATGCTAAATTAGAGGATGCCAGATACTCCTGTAAAAACCTTCCACTCTGGGCAGTACCTTGAGATGTTCTCCTGTCATAACACAGGTGAACCCGAGAACTGATTTCTGTTACGAAGACTGGTCAGTAGAAGTGATCATCAAGAGAAAAATTAAGATACCCAAGTTCAGTAGCACTGAGATGAGAAACGTAACCTCACTACATGCTCCTATACTGCAAGAGATGGCCAAGCTGCTTCATTAAGCCCTTCAAATAATAAAGCACGCAGCATCCTGAGCATTTCCCACACAAAGAGACTGCCTAGAAAAAAAAAAGAGAAAGCGAAAATAAAACTTCACAACACACTCCACAGGCGACTTAAAACAGCAACCGAAACCGCAAGCCAGCGCTGCCCTACGCTTCGGGAATGGGACGGAGGGCGAGCCGGCCGGGAGCCGGGGAGCGGCCGGCGGTGCCCAGGGGAGCGCGGGGAGGGGCGGCCAGAGGGGGGCTGCGCTGTCCGCCCGTCCGTCCGTCCGCCCGTCCGTCCGCGCCGAGTCCTGCCGGCGCTGCCGCTGCTCCCGGGGAGCGCCGGAAGGGCCGGGAGCCGCGGGCAGGGCCGGGAGCCGCGGGCAGGGCCGGGAGCCGCGGGCAGGGCCGGGACTCGCTCCCGCTCGCCGCCGGCCGCCGGCCCCCGCCCCGCTCGCGCCCCCCTCAGAGCTCCCCCTCTCCCTTCTCCCCTCACCTCCCGGCTCGGCGCCTCGGCCCGGCCCGGCGTCAGGACACCGGAGCGACCGCGCCTCCTCCGCCGAGCACCGCGGGCGCTGGGCACCGCTGCCGGTCCCTCTCCCGCCGGCTCCGGCGCCGCCGCCGCGCCAGGCCCCGCTCCCTCCTTCCCGGCCTGCCCCGGCCCGGCCCCCTCCCCCGGCCGGGCGCGCCTGCGCGGCGGCCCCGCTGCCATCCGGGTCCCTCGGTGCGGTGCAGCGGGTCGGTAGGCGGGAAATGGCGACTGAGCGCTGAGCGCCGAGCGCCCGGAGCGCGGACCCGCCGCCGCCGCCTGCCCCCTCCGCC